ATTATAACCAAAAGGAAATAAAAAGAAATAAAAGGTAAAGTTAATGTTTCGTACACATGATAAACCATTTCGTTAAACAGTGTACAACATTTCGAAAATCTCAATTATTTGTATTAGGAATAATACTAAAAAAAAAAATTACTTTTATATTTAGATTTAGATTCATTCGTTCTTTTTAAGGTACAAAGTACACATGTATCCTTTATAATGTAACGATCATACATTGTAATCTTTGTACCTCATCGTAAATGACTTACTTGTTACATATAAATATAAATGTTTAAGTTAAAAATAAGTAATGAGAAATTTTACGATAATGGTCATTATCAGTTATGTAACTGTAGTACATGTAAGTACATACGTACGGTACGGTACGTACTGTACATACTGGTAACATTTTTTTTTAAATAAGTATATTATAACATAAATAAACAGTTAAAATAATTTAATAAAGTTAATATTTATTGGTCGAGAACGCGATGTATCTTGTTGGCATTTTTTAGCTAATTTGTTTTAGCATTGTTTTAGCAATTGATGTTGATATCTCTTGAATTCAATGTGTCCTCAATGTGTTGACAATTGGTTCTATTAAAGGATCGTGTATGGCTAAAGAAATTACATGATGTAAGTTAAAAATTCATTTGTTCTTGGTTATGATAATTTTAAATTTTATAAATAGATACATTTTATAGGTACACGTAGGACTGCAAGATAAACTTGATTCCTATCTTATTGATGAACTAAAATTATTAAATTTGTATATAGCATATTTTTTTAGAATTTCTTTGTTTGAAACAAAAGAAACTTAAAAATTGTTACTAAAAATAATTTTACTTACTCGTACCTACTCATATCTACTAATATCTACTAATATCTACTCACATCTATTCGTATCTTTAGTATATAATAAATTTGACGAAACTTTGTTATATATATTTATATAATAAAATTTTCAATCACCGGAATTTCATTCACTAATGTATAAAATAATAAAATATCAAAATAGTTAATTAAATTGATTTTCAAATACTTAGCAGTTAGTTAATTAAATTATTCTACGTACGTACCGTTACTGTTAAAATTTATTTATGTATTAAATGTGTTGGGGAAATGCGGGAATAATGCAAGATAGTAATAAACGATAATAAGGTGTTGAAATCAGACGAAGATTATTACTTAATATAGTATTTATCTTATCTCTAAATAATCTTATTGTACTTGCTACATACGTACGTATCAATAAAGTACTGTACGTTGAAAAAAAACTTCGATATCGATATACTTTAATACTATGATTTAAGTAATCCTTGTGACACGTGACCTTTTCCTCATATTCTCACTAACCAAAAATGCCAACTAATGTAAATTTCATTGTAACGCACGAGAATAACTAAAATTGGTAGAATTATATGAAGGGCTGCGTTGAACGCGTGAAAATCTAAATCTAAGTAATGTAAGTTCTAAAGACAAAAAAGAATTAAAAGAATTAAAAGAATTAAGTAGAATATTAGCAAACAAAGAAAATAAAGATAATTAATAAAAGTCATTGTTGTTAATATAGTAAAACCAATCCATATCGATGTACTACAATACTACATTATCATTTATGATGAATTTACTTGTAACCTCCAATATTCTCACACAAAAAAAAAAACTAACTTTATTCCTTATATATATTATATATACATATATATATTATCTATATATTTATATCTTTATATATTTATATTTTATATTTATCTTGATATATATATAGGCTTTATCAAACTATCGACTACAATGCTACAATGGGTTGAACATATATTCATCAGTTTCAATGTTATACGTACTGTACTGTACGTATTAATCATGCATTGGTTATCCCATTAACTATGGTGCTATCACTGTGATGTGAACAGCACAGTTTAAAGAATCCAATTCGTTAATCCAATTCATTAATCTCTATCGCTATATATTATTAGAGTTTGTGCATGTGACTAAGTATACTGGTTTGATTTCAGCAATCGTTATAAAAAAAGTATTTATTTTAAAAGTTACTTTAGCATCTGTTTATTACCTTTAACAAAATTTCACTTACGCAGGGTTGTACTATGCAGAAAGTTTAAAAATCTCTATATCCTTTTATAGAGATCGTGTGTAAACTAATAGTTCATTGAAAATAAATTTCCAATGATATAAAAAAATTCAAAAATTTATACAATAAAGATGCAGGACATCTTGTTTCTTCAGCCTCTTTGCATAGAAATCATACTCCAAAATCCAATTGTACTTAAAGGCTGACTATTTATATGTATATTTCTAATCTTGGTTGTTCCTTGAAAATGATAATTTTAGCTTATCTTCAATGAGCTTTTATTATTCTATATAAAGTTATTAAGTTTCTAGATTTCCTGTACCATTGAATTTTTCGATATTCAAAGCCTGTTTGGTCCATATTCGTGCTTTTAAATGTTTATCCAAATTTATAAATTTTATAAATATTATATAATGTGTTTATGTTCACTTCCGATGCACTTTTTTGCCGCCTACGAATGCCTATAGGAAATTATATCTGATAAAGTAGTACGTAATACAGTAGTAATATTATATTAAATATATAACTTTATATATACGTATCGGTATTACTTATTTGATTGACCCTGTAATTATGTTGTAAGTAAAAACGGAATTTAAGTGATTTTGGAATTTCCTAGTTAAGTTAGTTGTTAGTGTTGGAGTTTTTTAGGTACTTACGTACGTACGGATGTTTAGATGATCAACCCGAAATACTGGTTCTACGTATAAAATTTCGAATTCACTTAAATCCACTTATTATATAAATTTAATAATCAACATATAAGTTTTTTTTTAAAAAAAAATTCATAAGGATTATTTAATTGAATAATTAATTAATTAATTAATTAGAGAATAAAATAAATTTAAATGATTGTACGTAAAACAAAAACGTCGTTTTTTAATACCCTTTAGCAAAATTCAAAATAGACTATTCACTACTATAGCATTAAAATAACAAAATACTTTAAATTCATCTAACTTTTAGTGAATATAACTGCAAGTTTTACTTATATATTCTTTCATACAAATAATTATTTAATATTACTAATTCTTATATATTTTATAAATTAAATATTGCTAAAAATGAAAAGTAATTATATACACATTGTTTAAGCTATCTTAAAATCAATATGTTATTGCTTACATCTGATCATTTTTTATGTAAAAATTCTAATAATATTATTATGCAATAATTTTACAAAGTTATTTAATTAATTTACAATAATATTTATAAGCTAAACAGCAAATTCTTTTGTAAATATGCAAGATAACATGTTATAATCTATAATTAAAATAATTAATTAAATTATAAATGATATAAATTTATAAATCTATTATTAAAAACTAATCTATAATATTTACATTTATCTTTTTTACTCTAAAATTTGTTATATATATATAACAAAATTAATAAATCTAATTAATATCATTTTTTTTATTTAATAATTATTTTATTTAAATTATAGCTAGTCATAAAAGTACATATATTATTAATACAAATATCTAAATTAAATATTATGAATCATATTTGATTTTTTTCAAAAATCTACTCTATAAGTTCAGATTCAAAATAACACAAACAGTCTTTTCAGATAATTATTATTTCTTTAATTCTTCAAAATGTATTTATTCCAAAAGAATAAAAAACTATCTTCATTATTAATTAAGTTCTAAACTAATATTACAAATTATTTAATATCTTTAGTAATTATAATGAATATCTGTAATTTTTTATTTAAAATTATTTTGCTAATATTTTAAACTAACTCTTGTATAACAAACCTTAACCTTTTGTATAAATTCTGACAATTTTTAATCATTCTACAACCTTGTGTATATCTGTAATTAAATAAAATCATTTTTGTTAAACATTTTAATGATTGTCACTTTTTCAAAAACAACCCATTGTTGTAATGTTTCAACTAAAACATTAAGTAATTTTATTCTATGCTGACTTGTATTTTTGTTTTTTTGTTACTAAAATATTTTTTGAATTAAGGTGAGACACTAACAATGCAGTATCTGTTAAACTTACTTTTTATTTATATTTAGTATAAAATGCAGGAACAAAATTAAACAGTGCAGATACTAGCTTTAATGTGTATTACAAGATGTGCGTTTATTCTGAATGTTCAAAAATGATGCAAAGGACAAAAAGATTCAGCTAATTGTTATTAGATGTTTCAAAAATTATGATAATAGTAATAAAAAATTTTGGCTCGAATCGCAGTTATAATATATAGTTATTGGATGCGAAGCAGCCAATAACAGATTATTTGTAAAATGATTCATTTTGTCTGGTTGCGTACATAGCATCCAATAACGGTTTTATCCGGCCCGACAAGGCCATGGGACTCAATACAGGCCTTTAAGTACTATAATATATATCGGGTATTTTCTTTCCTGATTTAAAAGAATTCATTATACATTATTATCTCTTAATAATTCTGGAAATTACACATTGTAATAAAGATAAAACATGATGTAAGACATGTAATCCTAACATAAATCAAGGATGGACAAATAGGAACAAAGGAGTTTTAACTTAGAATTAATTTCTCGTATAAGCATATGGTTGAGTGGATTTCATATGATAAATTAGATAACATTAAAATGATTGGTAAGGGCTATACCTGACTGGATGGTATACGGTCATTGTCTATTATCACCTAAGGAAATTTTTGAAATCACTATTAATTACATAGATTCATTAGATATATAATTTATAAAGTTTGTCAATTATACGAAATGGATTCCAAACACAAAAACAAATGAATACATGATGATATTTCAATATGCTGATAATGGAAATCTTTTTCTAAAAAAAATTTCAAATCCTATTTGAAAAATTACAGTTACTTCAAGATTTTTTATTCAACATTTATAATGCAGGTATGTTCATAAAGTACGAAATCTTACATCTCAGAACTAGATTCATGTCAGAAATGTTAATTAGTCAAAGACCTTTCAATGGTCATGAACTTGCGGTAAGAATTTGTTGGGGCGCCAGAATTCTATATTGAGTTAACTATGCAATGCATAGATTCTGATCCATAAAAGCTGCCTAATACTCGGCGTTTATGATAAACTTAAAGAGTGGATTAAAAAGCATGAAAGATTTAGATTATGCAAACGAGATTAAAAGGCAATTCTTACATGCAGATAATGAATTGCCAATTATATTATCAAAACAACCTGATTTTTTTTTTTATACACTAGCAAAATTATTAAATATTATCGAAAATTTGAATATTGCATTAGTATAAATAAGCTTATTCGTTATGTTAATGTACAATTGTTTATTTTATAATGATATTTAGATGATTGCAGTTTAAGAATGTAAAAATCTTTCGTTTGATAGCTTGTTTATAAACATTACGATTATAGTGCATTTATTATACTGTACGTGATGACTGATTGATAATTAATATACAGTATACGTATCTACAGCTAGACCCCTTAAATGCAACCTCCCTAAATGCAACACCCCTTAAATGCACGATAATTATATAGTCCCTGTTGGGCCTTATAGATAAATGCACATTCTACTGTATACATATTCTCTAAATGCATATTTTTATTATATTGTCTTGGCCTCCTATAAATCCAGTCAAGTGATTATTGCTATAATAGCCAATCAGATTGTGTTAAAATTATATATAAAATGGTGTAATTATTTTGATTTACTCTCTACGTACAATTATAATGGTAAGAAAATTGCTAAATTGGTCTAGTAGTTCTTCGTGACTATATGGGGGGTGTCAGTAGAAACCAAGCAAATTGTTTTTTTAACGAGTTTTTTTTAAAATTTTAAATTAAAATATCTCAACAATTATTAAACCAACCTTGGTGAATTTTTTTTTCTTTTAATTCTATAATTATATAGAATTAAAATAAAAAAATTTTATCAAGTTTGGTTTGAGATATTTTACTTTAAAGTTTAAAAAAAAATTTACTTAGAAACAATTTGCTTGGTTTCTACTGACACCCCTCAATATATATATTTTATATATAGTCGCGAAGATATTTTTGCTCGTATCTCGAGAGCTAATGAACCAATTTTACCAATTTTTACTACAACTAGAATAGTAGAGATCTCTTTCTACAACTTTTATTAGAACCCCGAATGGCGTCTGCTGTATTTTGATTGGCAACTTTTTAGATGAGTGCTACACAAATATCGATATGTAGATCGGCTCACATAGCAAAGCGCGTGTGCAGTACATATTAATGTTTTTCGTTTTTATTGGTAATCAATAAGGATAGTGACAAATATTACGTAATATCTTGAGGGGGAAAAGGTGTCTTCGAAATCTAATCATAAATTTTATAAGCTAGCCAATCAAATACCTCTTATATGGGCAGGAGTTCAATGGAGCCCAATGGAGCTGACTATTTTTTTAAAGTTCCATTCACGTAACCATTGAGCTCCATTAGCTCCATTGCCAATCTTGTGTAGTGGAAATGGAAAGAAGGTATCGTGTAGTAAAAAAAAATATTACGTAATATTTGCCACTACCTTAATAATTTGCATGTACTGAATCTGTGACAGGTTATATCGATTACCAAATCGAAGTATACAAAAATCAGAGTTTGGCGCCGGCTTTAATTTACTTAATATTTGATATTTAAATTTACTCTTATAACTAAAATTTTGTGATGAAAACTTTTATTTGAAAGTTAAACTGTGTGGTTATCATAGTAATATCTTGATTTTTCTGCTTCACGGAATTTTTTAAGTTACATGTGATCTTGTGATTTGATTGGCTACAATCAGTGATGATCGAAATAACCTAATGATATAAGTGAAAATCTAGAAACCGATTTAATGATTCACTATAATTAGTTTGCAGGTTTTCACTCTCACGCACTTATATACAAAAAACAAACCCGAATTAGCATACAGTCGACTCTGCTTAAACAGAACCGAGATTATATGTAACACATTTTTAGAGTCGATTTAAAAATTTACTGTGTAATCCAAACTTATTAATAATTTTCTACATAAAGCTTTGTGTTCGGTTTGTCAGCTTCAGTTTAGAGAGTTAACTGTATTAACAAACTGATTTAACCCGAATTTAAAGTCGAATTATAATAATCAGTCCAACTTTCCAGCTGATGAAATTAAAAAATTGATCAGGAATTGGTGAAATTTGGTAAAATTAATTCAACCAGCATCTTTAGTCTTGCAAGTAAAAAACATTTTTTTATCTTTTTAATTAATAGCTCAAAATAGGTACAACGTATACATAACACATGAACAGTACTTACGGGAGTAGTGCATTTGTACTTTGATTGTGGTGATCATTGCTAACATCTTATAGTTTAGAGACGAGTTGAAAGAGGATAAACATGAGTATTTTCACAATGAAAGAAATGTTTGAAAAAAAATATTAAATCAAGCTTTGTACCAGTCTGAACAGTAGTTAGGTCCAGTTTTCGGTCTTAAATTGAGGACTGGGTCCAGACCGGTCTTTTTTGGACCAGTCCAACCGGTTTTCGAAGACCGGGTCCAGACCCGGTTTTCGAAGACCGGATCCAGACCGGTGTTTTTGGACCGGTCCAACCGGTTTTCGGTCCTAAATTGAGGACCGGGTCTAGACCGGTCAATAGCTTATAGAATGATCTCATTGACTAACAAAAAGAAAAAAATTTCCGATGACCTAATCTATAAGTTTCTAATTCATTAATGTTAATAACTTATTGATTTTGTCTCAGTAACTTGTCGATTCGGTCATTGACAATTTTTCCGATGATGTGAATGCTTATATACGCATTACTTATATGCACATGACTTATCCATGTATTGTCGTTATGATCCAAGACCTGTTCGATCTTTTTTGGCAAGATAATTGACCGAATTTTAGATAATTTTTAAATGAGATTTTGTTAAAATCAGCCTGGCTGATTTTATTAAATATCAGCCTATACTATTAACATGTGATTTATAGACATATTACTACAGATAATCATTACTAGTTGCTAAAATTTAGGGTTAAAGTGCAGTTATAAGGATTTTTTTTATATAATATAATATAGATTAGATATAAGGTCCCGATTTTAATTATTGTGAGGTTTTCAGGGGTCCTGAACATTTTTACTTAGAGTACCCAATCCTGTTTACTTTGTAGGTTTTTGAGATATAGCATAGGCTGATATTTAATCAAATCAGCCAGACTGGTGATTAGAAATTCTCTTTTTAAATATAAAATTGAAAATGACAAATTTTATGCCAAACGATGATGTTACTTTGTAACGAGTCTTTAAAGCTTCATACTTGACAATGCTAACATCGATTAATTTGTCTTTTTTATACGTAGTGGACATTAAAAACCACATAGCCTACTTTGAAAGCCAGCCAATAGACCGTGCTATGTATCGGTTTATATATCGGTTTGTAGACCGGTCCTGGACCACGGTCCAGTCCACGATCATCTGCTAGGATCGGTCTTTAGGACCAAGACCGGACCGGGACGGACCGTACCAGGGACGAGCAATAAATATTCTTTGAGAAATATTTGTTGAATCAACATTTTTTACAATAAATTCCACGAACGAGAATTCTCTATTTCCTTATACAGACTTTGTAAAATATAAAGGTTTATTTAAAAAGTATGGATATTTGATTGTTTTATTAAAATCTCACCTGCAGTACTACTATGGTTTAAATCGAAGGTTCTATTTCTTACTTTGGTGAAATTAAAATTCTTTTATAATTTTGAGTAAGTAAGGTAAATGATTATATTCTCTTTCACCAAAAATTCTAACTTTCTATCTCTATTAGAATCTTTTCTAAAAAAAATAAAACTTTTCTACCTTTAGAGTAAGTTTTCATCCTTGTAGTTCAGACATTCGTTATTAGAAATGACGCAAAAAAAAAATTACAAATAAACTATTACGGTAAAAATAATTCCAATATAATAAATATTTTCAGTATTAAATCTCTGAAGGCATGTCCAATAAATACAGTATCTGAGTATCGTAAAGTGAACAAAATGGTTAACTATAAATATTTCTACTTCCTGGTTTTCACTTGGCGACACTCATTTAACGTTAAGGCATTGCCACTTCAAAACTATATTACTAGATATTAATATCAATTATTAGTCATTCTCTTATGTTCAATTTTTTTATTTCACAAAAAAGGATAGAGTACATATAGATCAAAAATTTTTTTTACTAATTTAACTGTCTTTAGATCTTTAAGCAAAATTGCAAAGCAGATTTTTCTGATCCTAACGATAGTAAAATTATATAAATTTTGGATTAAAATTCATTAATATATCGGTATAAAAAAGCATATGATAATCATATGACAATCGACCAATTAGAATGTTACCACTGAGAATTTTGTGGAGTTGTAATTTGATTTTGAGATGCATCAGATCAAAATTAACTTATTATGCGTCAAATTAAAATCGAAAAAATTTAAATTTTGTACGGTGAAAAATAAACTCACTAACCTAAAATTCTACAATTGCACATACTTTTGTAAGAATACCACCAATATTTTAATTCTGTGCAGCTTCTTTAACAAATATATAATCTGTTGAAATATGCTCTATTAATTTTGAACATTTTATCATATCTAATGGCTCCAATTCACTTGCGCAATATTTAAATGTTTGATTGTAGTTCAACTTATCTAAAATCTTGCGTAGGCATATAAGTCAATTTGTATGATTTCGTATTCTGATTTGTGCTAGCTGTATAGGTCTCTACAATTCTTTGTAATACTTGGTATCCTGTAATTTTATGATCATTATTCTTGCGATGGTTGTGAATTAAATATATAACAGTAATTACCAATATTTGTGTAATACTCCCTAATGTTTAGTTCGATGCCAAATAGATGAATAGTATGTAAGTAAAGTCAAGAATTTATATTATCATGACATATATTATGTATATTTCAGTATGACGCTGCCGCACCTCAGAATCAAATTATAATTTTACAACTCAATTTTAAACCTATGCTTATTCTAATCTGAGGTACGACATATATTTTTAAAGCTCCAAAAAAAATAAATTACTTTAATAATCTACATATTTAAAAAATTTTATTAGTAACGTATTTTTATTTTCTATGTAAATATAAATTTACCGCGCAGATCATATGACAAATGATCTACATGCACTCTACCCTTATATATCGCTAGCATCATAAATTACATGTATAAATCTTAACTATTTTTTAAACATTCATATTTATAAAGTTAACATTTACCATGCTACTATCATATTATCACCTTCTTTATAGAACGATCAGTTGAATTAGACAAACCAGTTTCTAGATCACTGATTATAAGTTCGACTTCCTTCAAAAGATTATTTTTCCGCGAAGCTTTAACGAATTCTTTTATGGATTTTATAAACTTAATTTTAGAATCCTGCGAGTAATTCTTTGATTCGGCAAATTCTCGTAATTGATTAATAATATCAGACTCATTATAAACTAAAAAAAATTAATCATTTAATAAGTATCAATATAATGCAATCGTTTAATAATAGATGCATGTTAACCAATGTATACCTGGCAAATCTGCTTGAATTTTTTGTCTTAACTCAATTGCAAATTTGGAAGAATGAAGATCAAATATTTCATAATTTTTCAACGGCCTATATCGTATTATTCTCTTTATACTTCTAGCACGACCATCGGATACATGATTAGTTTGCATCTCGTTCGTACCGCCCTTATTAGACTTATCTAGCACGTTATGTTCTACTTCAATCGATGCAACTTTCTGCGGGATATTCATTTCATCCATAAAATTCTTTGAATTAGCATTAGTTAAATTTAATCCTTCTAAATTATTGATTAAGGGATCAATTACTTCTTGGTTTTTCAAAGCAGTGCTCAACGAAGCGAGCATTTCCAATCCAGAACTGTTTGGTGTTGATTTATTCGCCACTGATATGTTAGTTTCTGAAGTATTTAATGAAATAGATTTCATTTCGGCTGATTTAACTTCTGACGAACTATCATTATTCACCGTCAATATTTGTGACTCAGAATGATTAGGATCGTTAGTCTGAACTTCATCATTTGTCAAATCTGAACTCATGTCAAGTGTTCGATTTTCGTCTAGGTCCATTTTTGATAAATCTGGTGAAAACGATGAAAATGTTCCACTTGTGGGGGTCAACGGTGGAGTAAGTGGTTTAGAATTGAAATTGAATCTACTGGCTGGTTTGTGACCCTGTATTTTTGAATTATTTACATCGAACGGATATTTCGGTAACTTTATTGACCGAACTTTTGTTGTTATTGTAGATCCGATTGTAGTCGTTAATTGTCTTCCAGGAAGAATTACGAAAGGAGGTATTCCTCGATCCGGCAACCCTTGAAAAGAAATCGGTTTTAACCCTGAAGGTAATCTTTCACGAAAACCTGGTGCCATTTTTGTCAGACTCCATTTGTATGGTGGTTTCTTTATGGTGAAAAAAAGTGTTCAATTAAATTTCTTTTGGCCATTGAAACACGCACATCGTATAAACATCACGGACAAAACTACTACCTGAGTAGGATTTTTGTATGGACTACCAAACGCTCGCTTATCATCTTTCTTTTTAGCATCTGCATTATTTTCTTCGAATGGATTTCTAAAATTATCTTTTTTGATCATTTTTATCATTATCTCCTTATTAAAATTTCCCATATCTCCAGTACCAACCGAATTCACAGAATCTGTGAATAATAATTTACTATTAATAATTATGATAGTTACAAAAGGCGAATGTAACTTGTAAAAACTAACCTGTTTCGATCGGTGTATTAAGTGATTCCCGAAATTCACGTCTTATAGTAGATGTTATGTCTAGCAAAGACATCATATCATAATTCTATAAGATTATAGTAAAATTTTCTAGTAAATTAAGCATAATAATTGAAAATAAGGATCGATGAATTTAATACAAACCGTTTCTGGCAATGGTGCCGTTCTTGTTACACCCGGCATCGTCTTTGTTACGCTCTGAAATTTTAAACAAAACCAGTGATTAGCTATAATCAAATATTATCAGTAATTTTGGATACATACCCAACGATTTGCCACAATGTCCTTTCGCATTTCATCCAACTTTGGGTTTGCGAATTGTTGTACTATTTGATTTACTAACGTATCAAGACCATCTGTTTTTGGTTTAGTAAAAAGGCTAATATCGACCGTCCTATCAAGACTGCATGCGGCGAAAACCTTAGATAATGGCTTTGAAAAGTTTGAAAAAGAAATAAAGTTCAGAATGATATTAAATTATATACAATCAGATACATGATTAAACATCTTTGTTACCTGTAAATAATACCAAGGTAAATTTTTCCGGTAAGTTTCGAAGGAGACTTTCCACTCTAATGTTGGCTCCGGTCTCAATTGATCTTTAAAAAATAATAAATAAGATTCAAAATACGGACCAAACATGTGTGAACAGTCTCCATAAAGTAACGTCTAATTCTCTATTAAATGGACGTTGCCTTCATGGGAAAATGAATACAAATAGAATAAAATAAAAAAATAAACAGAAAACATACGTAGCAACTTAAACAATATAGGATAGTTGTAAGGAAGGATCACAAGACTAACTTCCATATCAGTCTCATTCTTCTTTCCAGCAATTAAGTAACCAAAAGAATCACCAAATCCTGGCCCCCGACCACTATCTTTCACAAACACCTAAAAATTATAAATTGTATATTCAGCGTTGATAAATACTAATTCAACTTTAAAATAATGTTTATTTAGTAATAAATAAACATACGGGCCACTTTGTTCCTGGCTTTTGACTCTGTAACTCTCTAGTTATATCACAATCCGAAACTACGTAACTATCACGTGGTAAATATGATGGTACGTCGTGCGTATTAGTACAAAAATCATTCTCTTTCCAATAATAGATCTTTGGTATTGCCGTCCGACGAATCTAATGGTTAAAGAATAAACTTAGTTTTGCATTACAAAAAGAGCAGTATAAACAAATAACTTATTTACCAAAGATGACTTGTCCATTGGTAATCTCAATATTTCGGAATTTATCCAAATATTTTCAGGAATAGGATAATATCCTTCATGTTTGGCTGGGTCGACATATAATTGGACAAGACAACCATCATCCGTTGATACATTACCTACGACAAATGATATCGTAAATTTATAAGCTAACCAGGAAAAGAAAAGGTAAGTACTAAGCTACAAATGAACTTACTACATGCATCAACAAAGTTTACCATTACGCCACATGTTGCAAAAAAGGTATATGGGTACAATTCTTTAGAGTGTGGATATGGATCTTTCTGAGTACCAAGGATATTGCCAATTGCGTGCAGAACTTCATTTTCATTCTGTACACTATATAATTGTCCTGCATAATATAAATTCGGTTATCTAACTTTCATACCCCATAGAAATTACTAACATCCAATGATATTACGTACCACGCATTCTAGCGTTTGCAACGTTTAATATATCGGGAACTTCGTAAGTCTCTGATGAGAGAAAAAAGGTATAAAGCTTTTGCTCCCAACGAAACTTTTCAGTGTAAAAATTTGAACTAGGAGTTCTATCCTCAAGCTAATTCATTATGATATTAGTTAACTTTAAAGATGATTAAGAATGTAATAAACTCATAATTACCTGATAGTCTAGAGTAGTCTTCAAATAGTCAAGATTCTTTCCATCCGTAAACCAGAATATACCAGTAGTTTCATTATGCTCAACATATCGACCCTTAAGTATAATGTAAATTAAGGTAAGTAAAATCTGACGTCGAGACGAAGGCAGTATAAGCTCGTGTCAATTGGATTACTTTGTGGATGAATGTATGAATAGAAAATATAAGACGAGTTGTGATAAAATATGATTCGCATAATGATGATGCGATCATGAATCATCTAATACTTAATATTTCGTATAAATACCAACATAACGTACTCTATAGAATGAATCCATATGACGTGTAATTCTGCGTAGACTCAACAATTCGAACACTGAAGAAAGCCCATTTCCAACTAGAGAAGGCTCCACAGGAAGTAATAGCTCAAGTTGTTCAAAAAGTGTATTTATTGGATCATGAAACCCCGTCTAACATATTCAAGGGAAAACATTATAAATATTGCATAGTATCACTACACTGTAACAAAAACAAACCCACTTTCAGGCAATGATGATGATAATCTGAAGTTGCGAGAATATATTTCACATTATTTGCATGTTTTCCGTTATTCACTTGCTAGATAAATATATGCATAGAAAAATATGAATTATAAAATAAGGATCAAAAATATATGGTATTATAAATTTACCTTTACAAAACTTCGAATCGCTAATTTGGCGATATCCAACAAAGAATATCCATCTCGAAATTTCGAAACACCAACATCTACTAAGAAAACAATAATCATCTTGCAAATCTGTATGGTGTAATATCGGAGATAATAACCGATAGAGTATGATTAAATTTAAAGTCAATCAACTTTGTCAAAGTCGATTTGATAAAAACAGAAATTACTCACGTGTCGTTAAACTCCTCGCGTGTATTTAATACTTTAACATTTAATTCTACTCCATGGATAAAAATAGAAACAGTTTAGTAATCGATTATCGAGATAATACTGCGGCACAATCTCGTGACCTCCAGACAATATCGACTTTGTTTTGCTGTTTTAGAATATAAGCCCTTTCACAAATGACAGAACTAATCCCAACTAAAAGTATACTACTGAATACCCCTGTCAACTTCTTATGAAGTTTTAACGTTTTAGTAAAAAAAACCATCTCGATAAGCTAACGCACCTATCAAATTTCAAATTTTTATATCAAGAGTCGGCATACAACAAATAGGAAGGATTTCACAACTTCGCCAAAAATAAAATTTTGTTCCCTTTTATACTTTTTATTGATTGCAGAATGATCATCATTGGTTACTAAAAAAAGTCGGGTAAATGTAACACAGGATTGTTCTCACATCATGTGGCGGTTAATTATTTTAAGGGAATGTCACATGATTAATTAGCAGGTAGTTTTATTGAGGTGAAAACAAGGGTTAAACGTAATATAATAAAGTACAAAATACAGTTTTAGAATTCCAAATACCGTAAAGGGTTGGGGCGTTTATGCAAGTCTAATTACAAACATAGTGCAGGTGATATAGTGATAATCATTAATCCGATTTTTTTATAGTAAACGTTTTTGAGATATGCACGCAATATTAAAGACCATAGGAAAATCGCCTTCTTTCGCTTTTAATTCCTCCCGTAATATCTAACATTTTTCAATTCTGTAAATACAAAATGTTTAATTAAACATGACTTTATACTGTAACAACGTTAGAAATTTGGTTTGCCAATTAAATATTTTTTTTGCATGGGTATGTACGTACTAATATTTGCTTATAAAATTTAATCATATGATAGATTTTATTTATGTTGTACAAAGATAACGATAAAAAATTATAGATATATATATTTATTCAATAATTCCTTCTTCGAACCAATTTTTTAGAAGTAATGAAGCTTTAATCGTTTCTTCAAGAACACTACTAGCAAGATTAAGATTAATGATATTCTTTATACCAGAAAAAGCATGTTCACAAAAAATATTCGTAGCCTTCAGAGCAAAATAGTCTGCCACAATAAAAGATACTATTGGAAAATGTTGTTTATTTACTTTCCACCATGATAGTAAATCTGATCCTGGCTCCTGTGAAAGAGAAAGGTAAGCTTCTAATTTACCTATTTTCTTCTCACTTTCTGTTTTGTTTTTATTTAAATTTATAAGTTTTCAGAAAGTTTCTAATAGATCTTTAGGCCTAGTAACCATTATTAAGCTATTTGTTTTATATAAAGAATAAAGAGTTTTTAACCAAATAATGGTTATTTTATAATCAGTTTCATTAATAGTTTCTGATTTAGTGAATGGATCAAGAAGTGTATAAATAAGAGAAGACTTTGAAAAATAAGTCCAGTAGTCCTGTAATTTAATTTTCATTTCTTTTATTGCATTAATGTGTGTGCTAATCAAGATATATTTATTAAGATGTACTGAAAAACCTAAAATAATTAATTGTAAAGACTTATGAAAAGATTGTGAAGTATTTAAAAGGACTGAAATTGCTATGTGAAATGGTTTAAGAAGTTGTACTATTTCCTCTAGAATTACCTAGTTATTAATTTTTAAGCAATCATTTTTTAAATTTGAATAAAATATAATAAGACTATCAGTAATAGAGCAGATTTGATAAAACCTTTCTATCATTAAGTAGATAAAAGTTTATTTAGTCTTAACATCAATCATGAAGTAATAGAACAGATATTCTCGAATAACAAAAATTCTTTTCATTTCCTCTAGAACAAAAAATGAGTTTATTTTATTACAGAAATGTTAAACTTTCTAAATTAGATTATAATACTTTTTTTAACTAACTTTAGCAATAAGGCTAATAGTATGTGCAGTATAGCATACATATTTAAAATTAGAATTTATGAATTTTTGAAGAAAATTTAGACATATCTGATTATCTAAATTATTTATGATGTTGTTACTTATAAAGTCGATAATTTGTTTTTTTATTCCTATATTTTTGACAAATTCAAAAATTTTTTCATCAATATATTTTTCTATATAGGCTTTAGGCAAGAAAATAAAGTCAAAAAAAAGAGTTCTTTTTGTCTATATAATATTAACCCAATTAACAATAATTACAAGAAAAGATTGTTTCATATATACTGTAATAAAATTTACTAAAAACTATCAAGCTGTAGCAAATTTTAAAATGACAAGTGTTAAGTGAAAGATCTTTTTATTTAAAGGAAAATAAAATAAAAGAAAAGAAGAAATATAAAAATAAATAAAATAATAACTAATTAA